GTAATAAAAAAATTAAAATAACTTAAAACATTCTTTGTATCTTCATAAGCAGAGACAAACCACATATAAATGCCATTTATAGTTGGAAACCCAGTATAGAGTTCTTAAACACGCTAACGTACCTGCTTGATACAGTTATGTATGCTTTTATGTTTTTTTAATGTTCACGTTTATTAAATAGTGTGAAATAAAAACACAATAAGCATCGACATTTACAACCCTTTCCTCAGTGTTTATTGAATATTACCAGTATTTACAGCAGGACGATGCTCAAAGCATCAGATACGGAAAGGAGGGAATACAAATAGTAAAAAAAATAAAATTAAAATAAAAAGACAGTAAAATCAAAAAAAAAAATTTATTAGTACCATACATGACTCAATGGCACAAACTATGTAATGTAATGCTTTTTCAGTGCATGTTGGCAAAATTTACAGGGCAATTAGGTAGGGATATATGTGTCACCATTTCACATTGTAAAAAAAAAAACCATTAAGTGCAGGAGGGAATGGGAGGAATTTGTCACATTTTAATGTTTTATTTTTTTCAAACAAAAAAAATATGTAAGGTTATATAGTACGCACACATTTATATTTACACACGTGAACATTATATTTATTCTAAACATCTACCCATTTTTTTTTTACCCCTCCCCCCCCCCACTTCTTGCTCAAACCAAGAATGTATCTTCATTTGTATTGCTGCACCAAGGCAGAAAATTAAATAAATTTAAAAAAAATAAGGGGGTTAAGGGAAAACAAGTTGTCAGGAGCATTAGATATTCATTTATGTTTATTATTTTTTTTAAACAGAATGAAGAAGCAAAACTGTAAGACTGTAAATAAGTCACATGCAATGACGCGACATGATCAGTATTATTTATTTAAAATTTAGCAATGTGGGGCTCTCCCAGCTCCTAAAGTAAACAGAGGACCAGGTATGTTTTAATTTATTTTTTTCTCAACATGTGCTCAATCGAATAAGTATGCATATGTCTGGTAATAAAGAAAATGGGCTCATTAACGTTTAAGTAATATTGAGTTCTCAGCGTATATTTTATTTAGAACATGTGCACACCTATAACTGTATGAAAAACATGCAGAGTCAGATCTTTTTGTAAATTGGTATTTGCACAACACTCTGACCCAAGCCATCTGTGAACAAAAGGCTAAAATATATTCATTAAAGGTAGCACCATAGCCACTTCAGCTTTCTGTAGTGGTAACTGCTCAAGAATAGTTTGACAACTTACCTGGGCACGCATTGCCCACTTATCTGCTGCTAGAAGTTCCTAAAAGGAGCTACCGTTGGCTCCACTGAGTTAAGCTCTGCCACAAGGGAGTCAGCTGAGCACCGTACTGCGTTGCTGTGCTTAGCTCAGTGGTAGTGATCCAATCACTCATTTGTTGGCTGAGAGTGTCAGCTGACCGCTATCACCAATTAATTGGATTCTGTGCATCGAAACATGCATAGAATTGACATTAGTCAGCTCGGAGCTCTAGTGGCTGATGACAACGCAATGACGCTGCTGTTGGTAGAGTTACATCTCCAGCAGCAGAGGGGGGTCAACGTGGTTTGTATGGCATTTTCAAAGTGAAACACTGCATAAAGAGACTCAAGGCACCATGACCACTTTAAATCACTGAAATGGCCATGATGCCTGGAATAACTCTTTAAACTGCCACCTGCGCTTGTGAATTACTTTGTGTTGAAATGTTCCACTTGCAACAAAATAGGAATATTAATTAGGTCTTCACGCACTTCTGTCAACTAATATTCCTTATGCAAGAGGTTACCAGACGGGATATCAGCACATTTTTCTCCTTCTGTGTAGATACAGAAAAAGTGAAATTCCATGACGTGATGTTTAGAATTTCAAGATATGAATCAAGGTATGCAATTAACCAAAGGCGGCTGTGAAATGACATCACAATGCCCTCCATACATAGTACCTGTAACGAAGACGTGTTTGGAAGTAAAGACTGGAAATATCACTTTTTATTGATCAGAGTAACTGGTTACCTATAACACAGCTCATTTATTAATTTCCTACCCGCGTTGGGACATTAACTTTTCTCAAGAATATATTAAAATACAATTAAACAACTTTGCTTAGTTCCAGTTAAAAAGTTCTGCTACGCATTATGTATATACACAAGAAAACACAAAACAATACACTTTGCCTTACTATAAAATTTGGCTAGTTACCTGGCGCTGTACAAACACCCATCCTTATCAGTACAGTATCACGGTTTGACCAGTTTTGTTAAGGAGCCCAGTCATTCGTCAGATACCCCAAAGGTCAAGGATTCCCAGACTGCCTCATTGGGAGCATTGCACAGAACCTTGATATATTTTGTGGTTCTTGAGAAAAGGCTTGCAAGCCTCTCCTGTAGGTCAGTGCTTGTCAAACCAATATGCATGGGTGACTTGTTTTAGGTGCCTTGGCCTGCTGGACTGTTTTAGGACTTCTTTGATATCAATCTGTATTCAGTAAGCTTTTATGATATAAACTAGCCAGACTTTCCATGCTTGTATGAAGTTTATTGTTCAACAAATAAAAAAAATAAAAGTAAAATAAAAATTTTAAAAAATGTAAAATTACAATTCTTGTATTTACCCAAGTGTATGCTCTCCCCAAAACCCATGAGAAACCCATCCATAGTTGCATGGTTAGTATGCGGGTAATTATTTTGTTGGTGGGATTCTTTTGGAATGTAACTACTAAACTACGCAGGTGGGGCTATTCAATATTTTATCTATTTTTAAATGAAACTCCAATCTCACATTGGATCTGCCATACTCTGGTTAGCCTTGCCACTCTTAATAAAGTTTTTGGATTAAGCGCTGAAGCAACTGTAATATAGAAATGTTAGGTTTATTCTGAAGTCTCCGTACATTTTATATTGCTCTTTTAAAGGGACACTATAGTCACCTGAACAACTTTAGCTTAATGAAGCAGTTTTGGTGTATAGAACATGCCCCTGCAGCCTCACTGCTCAATCCTCTGCCATTTAGGAGTTAAATCCCTTTGTTTATGAACCCTAGTCACACCTCCCTGCATGTGACTTGCACAGCCTTCCATAAACACTTCCTGTAAAGAGAGCCCTATTTAGGCTTTCTTTATTGCAAGTTCTGTTTAATTAAGATTTTCTTATCCCCTGCTATGTTAATAGCTTGCTAGACCCTGCAAGAGCCTCCTGTATGTGATTACAGTTCAATTTAGAGATTGAGATAAACTTATTTAAGGTAAATGACATCTGTTTGAAAGTGAAACCAGTTTTTTTTTTTCCATGCAGGCTCTGTCAATCATAGCCAGGGGAGGTGTGGCTAGGGCTGCATAAACAGAAACAAAGTGATTTAACTCCTAAATGACATTGAATTGAGCAGTGAAATTGCAGGGGAATAATCTATACACTAAAACTGCTTTATTTAGCTAAAGTAATTTAGGTGACTATAGTGTTCCTTTAAGTAGCACTTTATGTATGTATTATTGTAACACTTGGTTGAAGTATGTTGATGTTCTGACTGAAGTACTATTTCTATACTTTGCCAATTTTTTGACAAAGAATAGTGTGATTTTTTTTAAATGTATTAATGAAAACAGATAGTTTAGTTCCACCTAGTGGACGTTCTGTGTGATTTCTAACTCCCAGCACAAAGTACTGGATTATTTAAACTCAACCGATTTCATTTTATTTGTCTGCCCGTGGGGCTACTTTAGTCTTGATACAACTGCAAGGCAACTTCTAGAAAATTAAAAAACAGGGCTTCCTTCCTACAAGTAACACCAAAATTAAAGTAAAATCATAGAACTGGTTTCTTCATTTGAATTAACCAGAGGCCAATATAATCTGTAAACTTTAAAATGTCAAACTGTCATCAGAAACAATCAATGCACCATCATTCGACACTTTAAAATACCTTGGGGTTTTTGTTTTTATAAACTGCTAAATAGATTGAAAAATGATCAACCCAAGCGTATTGAATGTTAGATGCACTGCATCAGAATTTATTGAAATATTTTCTGATCTTTACATAGTATAATTCTGGGCTCAGAGCGTTGGAAGCTGATACAAAATGATACAATTCAAAAATGGTGGCCTCCACTCTGGAACTTTGCAATTGAAGATTTATCTGTAGTTCAGGTAAACCAAGCTTCCTTAGATTTAAAAAAAAATAAATAAATAAAAAAAAAAATAAGCTGAATCTACTAGCATTAGTGTGCTAAACATAAAATTGTGAAGGGAAAAAAAAAGTTCATGTGAGAGTGGCACTTTAAAATAAATAAATTATAATAATTCTCTAAAAGCCAATCTGTAATTGTCACTGCCTGAAAATGTATGAATTATGGGCATGTAAAATGACCCCTAAAGTCTTCTATTCATAGTGACAAAACAATGGTGATTGTGTGAAAGGGTTAATATCTTTCACCGTCCTATACAAACCTTGTATATACATGAAGGTTTGTTTTATTTTGATATTCATTTGTAAAAAATCATTAAAAAATAAATATTCTACAAACAATAAAATGCAAAATATGGCGCAACAGTTATTCTACATCTGAAAATTCTAAAATGCAGAGCGACTCCAAATCAAACCAGAAGTGGATATATTAAAAAACCAAAATAAAAAAAAATAAAAAAAATTGTTTTATCAAATGTGGAGATTGTAATGATGGGCCGTACTAGGACTACTTCACTTTTCGTGTAAAAAAAAAAAGTCTTCCTAATTCTGAGTGGGTCTTTTGGGGTGGGGGAGAGGGGTGTCCTGTGTTTGTCATTAGTGTGGAGTAGCATTTTAGTTTAGGGATGGATCTTCCTGGTGGCAATGTCAGGATGTCAGTTAAGTCTCCACGGTTCCTCCACCATTTGTCATGATGTGTAACACGACTGCTCACTCAGGTTAGCCAACACTCAAGCAATCTGAACTTCTCAAATATTTGCACAACTCAATATCAAACTAGTCCCAGTTCAGTCAGAGCATGAAATGCAAATCTAACTCCAATGGCATAACGACAGCCCAGCCGGACGTAGGTCACCATACAAAGGAAAGTCTAAGCATTTCTTTGCATACAGCATTTTCCAAGAAATGTCTTAACCGATTATGGAATGGCATCACTCACACCAGGAAGTACTGTGACTAACCTCTCATGCACTCCCCACCACACAAAGTGTGCAATAGTGCTTAGTGATAAGTGACTGTTCATCTTTAAAGAAGATTACTCTGGAATTTACACCACTTGAAAAAAAAAAAATCTCTCGTTTTAACCTTTTTCCAATAAATGCTCCATTTTCTTTTACTCTTGGTTTTAAAATTTAGCATTTTATATCATAATCCAATTCGAACAAGGCAAAGCCCCCTCGCCCCATCTGTCTGCTCGCTGTAAAGGACACAACTGATAAGGATGACTGACTGAGTTAAAATGGAGGACCCAAACTGCAGGACAAAGGTGTGGATTTCTACATTTTCATTATTTTTTTTAATACCTCAGGTATTCATATTTGTTACACGTAGGAATAACTAAATCAGAGTATTCAACAAATCCTCAGAGGTGACAGTATCCCTTTAACATGTTGCTAATGTCACCAAAAAGAGACAGGGTGTGCAAATGTAAAGCAAAATAGAAAATGGGAGGAAAAAATAAAGACGTAATTATTAGGGGTAAAAAGCCTCAGTTTTAATAACATCCCTTTCTTAACACTGACACACTGATTGCAATTCCCAGCAATAACCCAACAAGGAACAGGGTCAGGCAAATTTTTGCCAGCTCTGAAATGTTGGCCTGATGTGGTTTTAAAAAAACGAATTAACAAAGTATCAGAATAGTAAATGTTGTATTGCACTGCCCCACGACAACACACGCATTCACTCCGCGACCCTGTCACACGCAACGTCTGGAGAGGGAGTGGGGAACACCTAGGATTACTTTTAGCAAAAACAGGCAAATAACAGGCAAAGGTCAAAATTCATACAATAAATGCATTAACTGCCATATTTTATTAGCACTAACAAAGTAGCAAAGCAAATCATTAAATAAAATTTTTATTTTTTTTAAAAAGGAACCTTTGGGCACCATAACAACTTCATCGGAATGGTCCTGGTGCCATCGTCGCTTTAGGGGTAGAACGATTCGTGAATGGTTTAACCTAAAAGTCTTCTCTCTAGTCCCATTTAGCTCTGCCGCTGTCCTCCCCACTGCTCTCAGCAAGCCTCAGATTGCTACAGACAGGGGCTTCTTGTCAGCTGATGCTCTCAGCCAATCTCTGTAGCTCCCCACACACAAAACGGCTTGAGAAACCAACATTGTTTTCAAGCTATTTTTATAAATGGGGAGAAATGGTCTCCTGTTTGAAGAATCTAAGAGTAATGGAAGGACAGGGATGGAGTTAAATGGAGCTGGATAGAAGACTCTGTTTACACCGCTCATGAACGGTTTAACCCCTAAAAGTAAGTCAGCGCCAGGAACCTCCTGGCACCATAACAACTTAATCCAATGACACTCGTACGATGCCCGGAGTGTTCCTTTAGATGGTCTGTCACAGCTTGGGAATGTAAATGGCTCCTCAAATAAAATATTTATTTTCTCATAAATACCCAGAAGTCAATTATCTTTCTTTGCGTTCTAATTAAATCACAGCCTCAGGTAGTTCTTGAGCTGGGGGACTGCAGCCACTGTTATATATTTCTATTTAAAAGGGTACTGAAAACGGAGGCAGGTTAGTGTATGAGGCTATTGAACCATATACAGGTTATGGTCTTGTATTGATTGCCACAAACAGAATAAAGATTTGCACAATCTTTAGGTTTTTTTTTTACACGCAAAAAAAAAAAAAAAAAGGAATCCATTTTTTGTCTGGACATGAGCCAAGTCACAATCAAATTACTGTTGAGCGGGTGTATTATATTACCAAAGTCATTCACAGTATTGCCTTTGCATTTTCATTCTTTTGCTCCCAACAAGACTTGTTTTTACTACGTATTATCCACTGCAAAGCAGACTGACAGAACTGCACTCTAACGAAGCCCACTTAATACTGGAATACATTGTCACCCTTTACATGTTAAAGGGCATTTCAATTTAAAAATCACAGTAAGAAAAATAAATTAGGGTCTCTGATGTCCTTCGGAAGATGGTGGAATAATTGTGACCTGGTGACAAACAACCCCTACTTCTTAATGCCCTATCAATTTCTAGAACCCCCCCCCCCAAAAGAAATATATGAATTCCTCCCCCCACCCCTTCCCACTGATGTGTCGTATTCCCTAAATATAAAAAGGAGTAAATCTCTTCTAATGTTAATAATACATTAAGACCAGAATTACACACAGCTTCTACCAAGCGAAAGATTTACAGGCACAACATACACAAACCCAAGCGAGGAAACAGGTCGTAAGGAGAAAAGGGAGAAGAGAGAACAACACACAACATTTAAAAAAAAAAAAAAAAAATCACTCAAAATTATCTCCTCGTTTCCACTTGGAGTGATTACAAAGGAATTTTGCAAAGTCTTTTCTTGGTTTGAAGCTTTTGGAACTGTACAAAAAAAAAAAAAAATCCCCCCCAGATATATATATATATAATAAGCCAGTACAAAATCAGGACAGCGTTTTTTTTTTTTAACTTACTTTTTTTTAATAATATTTAAAAAGAAAAAGAAAATAAAAAAAATAAAAAACACAAAAAAACAAAAACCTGGAAACTAAAACGAAATAGAAGGAGGCACTGTGAAGTTGAGACTGCTATCTTGTTTAGAGAAAAAAAATATATATTTTTTTGAATGGGTTCAACGATAGCCGACATGTACATACACTCAAATGAGTCACCAAATAATACATTAAGACTTTAAAGGAGAAGGAGGGGGAAATATAGTCTTAAAAAAAAAAAAAAAAAAAAAAAAAAAAAAAAAAAATCGAAATCTAGACTTTCTATGTTATCAGCCAAAAATCTTGTAGAATTTCCAGATTAGGATAGTTTGAAATGAATAGATTTGACTCTGAATTGTAAGGCAGTGATTTCCACACATGAACAGACTGCTGTTTTCAGTGAGACTGCCACTTTTGAGGATTTTTTTATTTTTTTTTCTAACCAAGCAGAAACTTAGATGGAAGCTACAATGTAATCACACATCGTCCTTAGTTGCATCTACAGCTATACTCAGAGTGTCTTTATAAGAAGGAGACAGGGGGAGAGAAGGGAAGGGGAGGGGGATATATACAAATTATTCCAGTCTTTTGATACAAGCTGTGTGAAAGGTAGACAGACTCAGACGGTGCTTTCAAATCATAGTGCAAAAGAAAGTGTGTCTTCCTCAACCAAAGTTCCATTCAGGTCCAGCTGAAATACGGAGAAAATGTTCACAAATTTTGTCAATAATTGTATTTTAATTAGAAGATCTGGGTAAATTAAAGGAACGCTCCAGATCCCTAAAGATCGTTCGCTTTATGTTTTCAGAGTGTGTCCTCTTTTATTCATTTTACAAAAAGTGTAAAATTGGCACTTTTACAAATCCTGTTACTTCCTGGTTTAGTTAGTTCAGTGCAGGAAGTCTGTGAATGGACAGTTACAGAAAATCTGGGGAGTACTGTAGCTTTTTATAAACTGTTTTCAGCTATACCCCATTGAAGAAAATGTATAACTGAATGCATGCTTTCAATGGGAAATATATCTAAATAGGGATATTTTATTTTGGGGGGGATTTGGGCATTGGAGTATCCCTTTAATTACAAATATAATGCCAGGTGCACTAATGGAATAACCAAAATAGTTGCATGCACTTAGATATACAAGTGCCCCTCCTTTGGTTTTATGCTGAGCAACAGATTGAAGTGAAAGAAAATTCCCAAAAGTTGCAAATTAGCCAGCTCTACTATTTTGGACAACATTTTGTTGGGCAATTCCTGTTGAATTAATAAACTCCTCATTGGTGGATGGAAATTTTCACGGTTTACGTTAACAGAATAAAAATTGTGACAGTTTGTGTTTACAGAGCGTCTGTCATTGTGTAAACAGCAGATAAGTACAGGGGAAACAAAACCGTGCCGACAGATGCAAATAAGGGTTATGTAATACATTGTAGCTTGAACCTGCGTTTTGAGAAGTCAAAGCACCATTTAAAAAAAAATAAATAAAAAAAAAAATGCATTTCTGTTTAAAGAAACTAAACAAGGGAAATAAAACCTATTCAAAAATGCAATTTTCGGACAGATGGAGATTACGCACCGAGATCCTGTGTTCATAAATATATTCTCTTCTCCCTGTCTATATAACTTGCCAGTACTACTGCTAATTTCACTTACATTTTGGGTATGTAGACCTTTGTTTAGCAAGGGTGTGTATGGCTAAACCATACAGCAGGGCTACTATAATAAAAAATATACATATAGATGTAAAAAAACAAACAAAAAAAAAAAAAAAACAACAAAACCCTAAAACACGCAGGATTTTTTTTTTTAATGCCCCAATTAAAGGGTCAGCACTTTTTTCCCGTCCTTAATAATCATTTACATGAAATGTGATGCCCCCTTCTCCATTTGCTACACAGAAACCAGTCCACAGTACCTCCTTCCATACTTAGCGCTCACGCTAACACCCATTCCTTAAAAGGCAGGACCTAAATAGTGAAGGGGTTCAATTTAAAATGTCATTTTTTTTATTTCAATTTACAGGTAGATACGTTTTCAACTTTTCACTTTTTTTTTTTTTTTTTGGAGACTTTACTTTTATTTAAAACAAACATTTTGTTCCTCCACATTGGCCTGTTATACACATATATATATAGATTTTTTTTTATTATTGTGTTTTTTTTTTGTTTTTTTTTATTATATCTTTACTGTGATGCCTGTGAGGTTGGGTTCTCCGATTTGCTTTCTTGACTTGAAGGAGGCTTGCTGTTCCATGGGCTGTTGGCGCCTAGTGCGGGCGAATTATTGAAGCTGTCCTCGTCATCAATTCCATTGGCAGCGTCAAACTGTGTGTTCTCCAGGCGGGTTATGAGTCGCTCGTCTTCGTCTCCGAATTCTCCTCCCATCAGGGTTGGTTCGCCCACCACCATTACATCCTGAAAGGGAAGAGTTCCAGAAACATAATCAAGGCAGAGGCGTGTCCCTTCCTTCCACTACTACAGAAGCGGTGGTCAGAAGCGGCTTCTTGAAGCTCAGGGGGAAGCTGAGGCCTGCAAAAATGCATGTAATGTAATGGATGTAGGATTAAAGCCCTGCTCGCACAAGGCTCTCCAGTTATTACAAAGAAGCATGTTTTTAGTCAATAAGTCTTTACTCAGCAGGAATACTCATTCCAGCTCTAAAATTATTTAGGACATATAAGCTTTCTGCTAATGTATATATATTTCTTTTTCATTTTTACTTTCCTCAATAGACTTGTTAGGTATTTGCAGCTTACTCCGTTCAACGTCAGTTTGTTTTACAACATACTCATTGTTAAGCTGCAAGACTGGTAAAACTCTCCAGAACTGACAATTTAAGAATTGTTTGGGGGTTGTGTTTTATTTTGTGTGTTTTTTTTTAAAGATTTTATTTATTAACATATGTATAAATAAATATAGACATTTTTAAGGCAAAAACTTAGCTGAAAAATTAATATGGAGTCTCCGAATCTCAGAACAATCCTTTAATTATTAACAGATTTCCAAAAACACACAGACAATCATTAAAAGTGCAATTCTGGAGCAGAGTTGCAAGAGTGAAGCAGTTACCATGGAAACCAAAGGAATGTTCCTGCTGATTGATACAGAATTGGGATTTATACCTAAACCCCAGTATATTTTTGCATTAATTGCATAGGTATGATTGACAGTCTCTGGAGAATATTACACACATTTGCAGGCAGGGAGATGCTGTACTACAAGGGATATCTACCGCTCTAAGTTTTAAATTTAAAAAAGACTAACAGTTTGTAAATATCTTAAGCACATCATAAATGTTATATCATATTCAGATTAAAAAAAAAAATATATATATATAGAAGAAAAAGGTCACCCAAATTAGTATTTAAATAATCACATTTTTATTTTTGACAAATTAGAGGAATAATTAGAAATTGTTTTAATATATATCTCACTAGTTAAATTTTTTTTACAACTAATGCCCTTGACAAGTTGGGGTTTTAAGGCATGCTAAAGGACAGTAAAAGCTATTTATTTTTTCTGACTTTTCCCAATGCAGATATTTAATTTTTTAGCACACTCTGCATTCTTAGCCTCGGCAGGCACACCCTTAGCACACACAAAATAAAACATTCATGGCCAAAGTTTTGCTGGTATTTTCATTGCAAGATGTGACATCTTACCATGAATTTGGTATATAATATATATATCTCAATAAATAAAGTAACTAATTTAAAATTTAGAAGAGAGTCTCTGCAGTGCCAGATAAAAAATAAAAAAAAAGGAACAGAAAAAATGGCAGCAGGTAAGAGTCAGAAAAAATAAATAAATTTGATTTTGTGTTTTTTTTCCCCCTTTATATACAAGCTTTACTTAGATTGCACTTATTACCAAAACATGACAAGCGCACTTTAAACGGGTGCTTCTAAAAGAGAAATAAAAATATTTATTCTAACATCCCTTACCGGCACACTTTTTAGTTTGCTAATAATCTGTCAGGATAGTATTGGAGGATTCTCAGGATTGCTTGCTAGTATACTCCACCTAGACAGACAGTTCTTCGTGGACTAGCTTAGTGACCATCGTAGTGGAATTCGTGGCCTGTCCTTTCTTCCTCCAATATGATTCTGACAATTCACCGCAGCAGCAATAGTTAACCTTTTGCATTCCATATTGCACACTACGCTTAACATTGGGGGGAAAGCAGCTAAAAATGTTAGCCATAGTTGCAGTAGTGCATTAACAGAGTGCCAGCAGGGTAAGCAACAAATTTGGGCAAACTCAAAAACTGAAGAGTGGAGAAATGACAAGAGAATGTTAAAAGAAATATATATATAAAAAAAAAAAATACACTTTCTTTTGTCGATTTTCCCCAATTCCCGATTTAGTGAAAAAAGCCTAGGAGTTTTAGATTTTCTGATGGCTAAAATTGTCCCAAATCCTTTTAGTTCTAATTCTTATTGGACAACAAACATCATTTAAAAATAGAAAGATTAAAAGGGGATGCTTACAGGTACCTGGCTGGAGAGGGCAAAGGTACTCGCAGGGCTTTTCTTTTTGCTGTTACTGTTATTCGTGTTGCCCCCTCCAGAGCTCATGGTGCTTCCACCGGACATCTTTCTTTTCCTGCGCTTATTGGGTGCCTGTCTGGCAGGTTCCGCTGTGAGGGTCACAAAGAAATGCAGGGTCATAAAAATAGATAAATAAATACTCAAAAACAAACCAACCAACCCCCAAAAAATAAAACACACACAAATTTCCTACCAAAACAAAATGATAAAAACAATAAACAATGTATACATCTACATATATTTCCATATTTCTATATGCATAATCTGCCATTGTGCATAATAAACTCCAGCCAGAGACACACATTTAGAAACAAAACACACTTTTAAAAACAGAGTACATTGATGACAATGAAGGTTGTACCTGGTGGTGCCACCATCCGCTGCCATTTCTGGAAGAGGCATGTCTTGAGACAGTCACGAG